GATCCTTGACGTTGTTCGAGTGCTCCTCCTCGCTCTCCGAGTCGTCCTCGGTCTCCGAATCGTGGGACGACGACGTGGATTTTTTTGAGGAGCTGTTGCGAGGGAGGAGGTCTTTGAAGATGGACGGACGGCCTGCGCGGGCTTTGGAGTTCTTCTTCCCATGGTGGTGGTCGTCGTCCGAGACCGATGAGCGCGGGGAGGCTTCGGATTGTGCTGAGCCTGGACGGGAGAGAGAGCCCGAGGCGAGAGAGTCGGCGTAGTCCGACTCTGCGTCGGACTCGTCTGTGGTTGTGGGCATGCCGGACTCGTCCTCCGAGCCGGACTGGTAGGATCTCCGCGAGCGGCCAAACATGCCGTTGCTCTCGTCGTTCGGGTGGAAGATTTTGTACAGAATGTTCTTCTTTCCGGGCAGACCGGCGGGCGACATCACACCGTTGGTCGAGAGCGATGCTTCGATGGGCGAGGAGCGCGCTGAACGGTCGGAGTGAATGCTATTTGCAGAGCTGTTGTGGCCTTTGCTCGGTTTTTCTGGAGAGCGGATGTGGGGCAGGGCAGACCGGGTCTGCGAGATCGATACGGGCGATTCGTTGTCCGAGTCATTTGCGGACTCGTTGCCGGATTCGGCGCCAGAGTCTTCTGGGTGGAAAATGGATGATGCGGCGGCGGAGAACTTGCGGGAGAGGGTGGTGGCGAGTTTTGGCGGGCCGCCTTTTTTCAACTTTGAGCTTTCTCTGTGAGGACCGGGTGCCTGTGGGCGGGTGGTGTTATTGAGGCCGGGAGCCCAGACCTCGGGGCCAAAGTTGTAAGATGCCATGGTGACGAGAGAACGAGTTAGTCAACGACAATCACTTGGCAGATGCAATACAGGAGACAATGAAACAGGAGAGAATGGGGGAGAATGGGGGAGTGACGGAGAGAGCTGGAGGGGGGAAAGTCGGGCGAGAGGAGATGTTTTTAGGGGGAAACGGCAGCAATGGAATGCAATGCTTTGCAGTACCGTACCGCACGAGGCAGGCAAGCAGAGGCACGCTAAGAACGGACTGAGGATTTAGGAGAGATTTTTTGAGAGTTTGAGGATTGAGGATTTTGGGGGTATTTAGTTTATATTATTAATTTGAGTGTGGCGGGGGAGAGAGACACGTGGACTGAAGGGGAGGGGTGGTATGGTATTGTATTGTAGTGTGTATTGTATTGTATTATATTGTATTGTATTGTATTGTATTGTATTGTAGTGTATTGTAGTGTATTGTATTGTATTGTATTGTATTGTATTGCTGGCATGTTCGTGGAGCTGACTGAAAGGATGGATGGGACACCTCGGGAAAGCAGTTTTTGTGATGATCAATGTTCCTTTCCTCGCTTTTTGTGTGTTGTCGAAAATTTCACACGAAAATACGAAATGCAGACTGGCCGTGCCCAATCTGATCCGCATGTCCTGGACTTGGTACGCTCCATGAACGCTCTGCCTTCCTCTCAATCTCACTTTATCTTATCAGAACACCCCAGTAACAATCTGCTCAGTCCGCATATCTGTGCAGCTCTGTAGCGTTATCGACTACAGAGGCTGAACATTACTCGATCGAGACTGCAGGACAAGAAGCAACCTGGTTTGATATTATGCATAAGGAAATCTGATCAGTACTACATAACCCTCCAATCATCGTATACAAGGACAGTCAAGCGTGCATTGCTAACCTAAAAGATCGAGGACAGACCAACCACATCGACATCCTACTTCAGTTCATTTGAGAACTGATCAACGATAGTAAAGTCAAATGGATCTACATTGCAATGACGAAGGAAAACGTCGTGGATCTGTTCACTAGAGCATTGAGATCTCCTGCTTTTTCTTACCTGATATCCTTGTTGTTCTGTCTCCCCACTTGATGACGTCACATGTCGAAGTTATTTCGTTATTTTCTTGATCGACCACTTTTCGTTCAGCGCTTCACTTTCAGTATCAGTTTTCTTTCTTTCTTCTGGACTTACTTGTTTACACCACTTTCTTACTATCGCTTATCTCATTGTTTATCATTCTTTCTTGTCTTTCTCTGTGAAAGTTGGTCAGATTACGAGTAATAAAATTCAAGTGAAGCAAAACTTGTCTCATAACTTTTGATATGTATTACAGATTGTGGCTCTGCTGGTTATTGGTTGGGAAGAGTGCACGTGATGGGGAGAAAACTATTGCTATGCTGGAGTGTTATGCAAAGAGAGAGATTTGGGCTGCCAGTAGTCGGGCAAGACGTTGTCCAATCTAATTGTCAACTAGTGTGTAATTTCACACATTAACTATTAATACCGTGGGTAGTGCCGAGTTGCCGTCGGACTTCGCCGATAGATTTTGCGGTCTGAGAATCTCGGCATCTTGTTAGTGTGGAGAAAAGCCATCAAGCATGGTAACGGCACACTTACCACTCGATGATTTTAGTCACTCATATTTGTCATTTCGGACCGTATTTGGTCTCTTTGGTCAGGATCATTTCTGTACGTTCCGTCATCGGAGGTTGTGTCCCGCTTTTCTTTCTTTTTTTTCCGTCTGGCACTTATTAATCAACCGACGCGTTTTGGATTCGTGCTCAGTCAAATCAAATCACATCCGATTCGGAGCCTGTGTGCCGGTGACCCTTGCTGCTCTGTGTCGACTGCTGCGAGAGAGTGCACTAAAATACTCGCACCTACGTCTTCGCTCGACTCACTGCGTGTCACTCTCTCTCACTTTCTGTCCTTGAATCACATTCTCTGCGCCACTTCTGGCTGTGCCCTCTGCCAGCTCTCCCTCCCGCCTTTCTCCGGGCTTCGCTCCATACAACATTATTTATTACTCCACTAACTGGACTGCGAAACCCGGAGATCCACAGAACCACCGTACGTCTCTCTCTATATCTGCTTTCTTTCAACCTCTCGACTCCAGTTTATCCCGCATCATTCATCTTAGTTTATTCTGTTGTACCCTTAGATTTTCCGCAACACTTATTTTACAGTTGCACAGTCCCGACCACAAGAATGGATCTCGGCGCGGCGTTCAAACCCTTCGTGGCCCTCCTCCCCCCGACCCTTCTCGACCTCTTCCGCATTCCACTTTTCTCGGACCTGCCAAACCCTACAAATGCCCCTCTAAACCGTTCAGCACCTTACTCCTCCATCGTCCCAACCGCATTCCCTGCCGCATTCCCAACGCGGTGGGCATCGATTCTCCCAGAGCTCGAACCCGCAGACTGGGCCTCCATCCTCCTCTCCCCTGCACTCTACTATGCCTACTGCTCGTTCTACTACTTTCTCTCCAAAGCAAAGCTTACCACCGCGGAGCTCCACAGGCTGCCTTCCGACCAACCTGGACGCAGACCCAACAAGATCACTGTGCGACATGTGGTACTGACCTGCGTGCTGCAACATGTGATCCAGATTGCTGCCGCAACTACCCTGGCGATCGTGACGAAGCCTCCTCCAGGGCAAGTGAGGAACATGGAAGTATGGTACATTTCCGCGCTCAAGATCATCGGTGGGATGATCGTATTTGACTCCTACGAGGTAGGATAAAATATCCAAATTCAGAGTTCGAATCTCACGGTGGTATATCCCCAGTACTGGATCCACAGGCTCATGCACGAGAACCGCTGGCTCTACAGAAACTTCCACAGCGTCCACCACCAACTCACCGTACCGTACGCCTTTGGTGCGCTTTACAACCACCCGCTGGAAGCCTTTGTCCTCGACACCCTAGGCGGGGGCCTCTCCTCCTTGCTGTTCGACATGCACCCCTGGACCGCGACGATCTTTTATGTCATCTCGACCCTCAAGACTGTCGACGACCACTGCGGCTACGCGTTCCCGTACCACCCGTTCCACGTCTTGTTCCCGAACAACTCGAAATTCCACGACATTCACCACTGGGGCAAAGGCATCCGGTACAACTATAGTCAGGTAAAAAGCGAAGGAGATAGCATTGTTGTGTGTGAAACTCAAAGGTGGTTCCCCTTTTTTTAGCCCTTCTTTACATGGTGGGACCATTTGATGGGAACGGAGTTTGAGTCTGCGATGCGAAGAAAGCTTGCGAAGAAGGAGAAGGAGGGTGGTGTGGTGAGCGGGGAGGGAAACGAGGCGACGAAGGGGAGCAAAATTGACAAGTCGCCAAATTTCCGAAGTCGTGGGAACATAACGGTGGATAAAGATGGCGATGGTGATGCGGAGCAGCACGATGACGATCATGAGTGGAGGCACGAGGAGGACGTGCGGAAGCTGGTGGAGAAGCTTGAGAAGGAGGGGATGTTGCTCGATGGGATCAAGATGAAAGAGATCTGAATATTTGGGGGGAAAAACGTGTTTAGAAACGTTCCAGGCCCTCCATTTCTTTTGCTAGAATCGTTCTTTTTTCTTCTGTGGTGGATCACTTGTCGACCCTTTTCAGTATGGGATATTTCCGTGGATCGAAAACGAGAATCTCGTTTGCGGAAGGTGAGCGCGGCATTTTAGCTTTTTTTGCAACAGGCTTTCAAACTTCTCTAATGTATGTTATATTTCCGCAGTATCGGTTTTTGGGTTTGGAGTATCGTTTGGATTTCGTTCCTTTGAAAAAAGATGGAAATGTTTCCTTTTACTTTTTTTTCGGCGTCATACAGTATCATTATATTTATTTTTATCTTTGTTTTGTCTCGGGGATCTGTCAAATCTTTTTTCTGTACTTTTCGGATTGCTCAATTCTACAATTTTTTTATGTCCTTACCGTTGGGTTGTGCTCCTTCTTGATGGAGCGGAGGGTGCGCCGGGCCACAAGGTGTCCAGCAGCCTTCAACGACACAGTCACAGTGTGGTTATAGATAGAGGTTGCCGTCACTAACAAACTTCTTAACGAGACCTTCAAAATGTTACACTACAAAAAGAATTCCGTTTAAGTTTTACGCGATCGCCAGTATTATGTTACACCACAAAAAGACAACATTCGAGAATTCCTTCATATGAATAACGATCGTTACGCTACACAACTTCTATTTATAACAGAGCGAGCCATGTAGGGCTCGAACCTACGACCTCCTGATTCGTAGTCAGACGTTCTATCCAACTGAACTAATAGCCCGTACCTTGTCTCTCTCTCTCTGTCTCTCTCTCTCTCTCTCTCTCTCTCTCTCTCTCTCTCTCTCTCTCTCTCTCTCTCTCTCTCTCTCTCTCTCTCTCTCTCTCTCTCTCTCTCTCTCTCTCTCTCTCTCTCTCTCTCTCTCTCTCTCTCTCTCTCTCTCTCTCTCTCTCTCTCTCTCTCTCTCTCTCTCTCTCTCTCTCTCTCTCTCTCTCTCTCTCTCTCTCTCTCTCTCTCTCTCTCTCTCTCTCTCTCTCTCTCTCTCTCTCTCTCTCTCTCTCACAATCAATGCCGCCTCCCAGCGCTCCGCCTGCGCAGCCGCCTGACGCGCCGCATGCCGCGCCGCCCGCCGCGCCGCCCGCCGCACCCCCCTCAAAAATTTTCATCGCTTCTGGCCGTGCTCGCTCCCGTGCTCCCTCTGTGTCCCACCCTCGCGCCCCTCAGGAAAACATTCCTGACTCTCAGCCCAGCAACTTTGATGGAGAAAATTTTCTGTGGGCAGATGAAGTGAATTCTCCTCGCGAATCACGTGACTCACGATCACGTGACCAAGCGTCATCCACTTCAGAACCGCCTCGAATTAGAGGAAGATCCCCCGCAAGTGTCGTTGATGTTCAGATGAATGATACAGTCGAAATGTCACTTACCCTTGCTGATGCTGATCCCAAAGGGAAACGTCGAGCATCAAAATCACCCCCGACTCGCCGACCTGCCTCTCGTGCCAGGGTCGAGAAGAATGCCTCTGCAGCTGATCATGCTACCTCTCCCTTGCCTACTCCTCGTGACCGATTCTTGGATGCTCTGCATATGCTGGCCCCTGCTCAAACTTCTGGATCTCATCCATTAGTGATGTCTGCTTTCACTCGTGCAATGCAATTTCTCCCAGTATTGGAACCAGAGACTGAGGCTGCCTTCTTTGCTGCATTGACTATTGCTGTAGTTCCGTTGGTTGAAACTATCAGCTGCCCTCCTGCTGCTGTCTCTGCCGTGCCTTCCTATGCTCAAGTTGCGAGTGCTAGCCGACCGCCACCTGCCCCTGCTACTCGCAATCCTGGGCCTTTCAGCACTGCAAAATTTGCCTCTCGTGCATCAAATGCTATTGTTCGTATTGAAGCTGCCGAAGCAGATGCTCAACCCGCCCTTTATCGCTCAGTGGTTGCTGGAGTGGACCCCCTATCTCGCAGATCACTACGGCCACCCAGATTGGTGATTGATTACCCGGCTGAGTCACCAATTTTGATCAATCCTCCTCAGCCTGTTCGTGATCGTGCTGCTGGTTTTGCTACTGTGAGGTTTAAGGAAATTAGTCGTCAGCCACTTAATCAGCTCCGCACTCTGATTAATCGAATTTCTGGAAACCCTCAATTTTCCCGTGACATTCGCCATATTAGTTTTATTGGGCGTAACACTGCTGAGTTTATTTGTACTTCTGACTGTGCTGACAAGCTCCGCAAGGACATTTTTCCAGGTGATGAGGTGCCCGTTGATCTTTTTGACCCTGGGCAGCTTCGTTCTGGGTCTGTACAATCACTTGAGCAACGTCAAGTTGCTGTAGCAAAGGCTGTTCACAAAAGATTTGCTCACCTCTTGCGAATTACTCATGATCCTGCAGTTTTTCATTATCTTCGTTCTAATCTTCCTGCTGCAGACTTTGAAGCTACTGTTTCTTTAGCCCGTTCTTCGCGTTCTGAACCTACATCTCGCAATTAATGTGGACTTTTCGTTCTGGAACCTTCAACTGTAGAGGTTTGCCTCTGGATTTTTCAGATTTACTTGCTTGGCTTGTTACTCATCAGCTTGATTTTTTAGTTTTAACAGAAACTCATCAGTTAACTTTAGACAGTGTTTCTTCTGAGTATTTGTTGTTTGATTCTCGTCCTCCACCAGACGCTCCTTTGGCATCTGGTGTTGCTCTTCTTATTAACCCACATCGTTGCAGTACTTATCAATTTAGGTTGATTGCATCAGTTCCTTCTGGGTTTGGTTTGTGGTTTAGGTTTCGTCAGGTCGTGATTGGTGGATTTTATTTTCCCCCACGTTGGACTGCGGAAGACTGTTTGGGTGCATTATCTGATTTTCCTCAATTTGTTTCGAATTCGGATACACCAGTAGTTTTGATGGGTGACTTCAATTTTAGAACTCAGAGCACTGGTGATCATGTTACTAATGCCCGTGCCAGAGCACTTCTTCCTTTTTTTACAGCCCACTCACTTTCATTGGTTGTCCCAGCTTCTTCTTCAGCTCGTCGCCCAACTTTTCGTTCCCACTTAGGGAGTTCAATTATTGATTTGTTTTTTGCTTCTACTTATGTGACAGCTTCCTCTTATTTAGTGCATGATCAACCCCAGTCTATGGCTCCCCATCCTTCAGACCATTTTGCAGTGACCTGTTCATTTTCTTTAGCTGGCCCAGATCCTCAGGCCACTGTGCCTCCTCCTCTACCTTCTTGGAATCTCCCATTGTTAAAGGATGAAGTTATTCGTAAGTCGCACAGAGAAACTGCTAAGATTCTGCTTCCTCCAACATCAGAGGCGCTAACAGCAGCATTGGAACCACTTCAGGTCCCTGTGGGGACTTCTCTTTCTCGTGCAGTGGCCCAGGGAGCAATTGATTCTGCATTTCAAATTATAGTTGATTTTGTTGAGGCAACAGCAGTTCTGACATTGGGACCACCAACACCTCGTCGTAGAGCACCAGCGACCACTCCTTTGCCCCCTGAGATTGCTTTGTTGCGTAGTAAGGCTCGTTCAGCATTCCGTGACTATTATTCCCTCTTTCACCACAATTCTTCTGACCCTCTTCTTCCTTTTCTAAGAACTCGCCAACGTGATAGTCACAAAGCATTCAAATCAGCTCTGAGATCACACAGGCGTAAGACAAAAGCAAATTTTTTGATGACCCTAGTTCTTCATCAGTGCCTTCTCTTCTGAAACATGTGTCTCATGCTCGGCGCTGCGCTAACTTTCGTACTTCAGCTAATGGTTTAGATTTTGATCCTCAGTCTTTAGCCAATATTCTGATCATTTTGCTAGTGTCTACAATGCTCAAGCTGCTGACCCAGTTTCACCTTCAATTGTTCTGTGTGATTTTCAGCTGCCATTGGATGTTGAAGCTTTTGTTCTAGCTATTAGGGACTGCCCTTTGGAGTCTGCCCCGGGTCATGATCGTCTGCCTGCAGAACTTTATCGCCCAATTTCAGCTATTCTTGCTCCATTGTTCTTGCAACTTTCTCAGTCCATTTTTCGCAGTAGTCTTACACCCACTTCATGGAATCTTGGGCTTTTGCACCCAGTTTGGAAGCAACGTGGTACGCTTGGTGATATTACTAATTATCGCCCCATTACTCTTTCGTGTGTTGCCCGAAAAATTTTTGAGCGAGCTTTGTTGCCACATCTTTATTCTGCTATCACGTCTCAACGCCCACTTGATGCTGCCCAAGCGGGATTTCAGTCACACCGCTCGGGAATGGAATGTGTTTTTGGTCTTCAGGCATGTATCTCCCGTGCGTCTAATGCCAAGGTTCCTTGGGTTGCTGGTTTTTTAGATATTCAAGCAGCTTATGACACCACAAATCGTGCAATTCTTTGGGCTGAGCTTCTTTCTAGGGGAGTACCGTTGCCATTTGTTTTTGTTTTGAAGTCTCTGTTTGATTTTTGTTCTTCCAGAGTGGTTGTTGCAAATTGTTTTCAGATGCTTTTGATTTGTTTAGAGGTTTGTTTCAAGGTTCTGTTCTCAGTCCACTTCTCTATATCACTTTTCTTGATCCTCTACCTGGGCTCCTCCGACCATTTGCCCCACCTATAACACTCTTTCATCCTGCCAAACCACGATATAATTCTTTTTTATTTGCAGATGATTTGGCCTTGTTTGCAATTACTTTGGATGCTATGCAGGTTCTTCTCTCTGTTTGTGACCAGTTTGCCCAAGCTCGTGGTTTTTCTTTTGCTCCTTTGAAGTCTGTGATTCTCACAAA